GAATGGAGAGTGAGCGACAGTGTGTCTGGAGAGGAGCTAGCATCTCCCACCAGCTCTAGATGTTCTTCTTTTATTCTGGTCCCATCGCTCCAGCCCCTAACCCTGGTCTAGGACATCTTCCCCAAGTAGTGCTTGTCTGAGTTATATAAGAAAAGCAGAACTGTGTCTCCAGAAATCTAGTATTACAAGGTCACATACTACTTACTGAGCTTCTCCTGGACATATGTCCTTCAGGCTTGGCTTAAAACCTGAAGGACTGGGACTCAGCTGGGTTTTGCTTCAGCTTCTTTCGTAGGTGATCTTCTTGAGCCGATTCTTTCCACTCCTCCCATTGCAGTTTCTAGGCATGTGATACCCCAGAACCCCACCCTCATCTGCACATCACCAACAGAAAGAAATTTAACCTAAAAATGCTGGTTCTGTTGCTTACTGGCCTTGAGACTTGGAACAAACTAACCTAAGTCTCAGTTTTCTTATGTTAAAACATCAATAGTGAGGCTTACCTCATATTGTAAGAAATGAATGAAAAATTATTAACTCCAAAAGAGTATTTAGCACAGCCTGGGCTGTTTATAAGCACTCCGTCACAGGTGGCTTTCAGTGTTTGTGTTGCTGTGTTGTTTCAGAGTGGTAGTGTTTTGGGAACCTCCCTCATGTAGGTGACAGGAAGGTGGGAGAAAAGGTGGGGATCTCACTTGTCTGGAAGTTGTAAGTTGTGAGCTGGAGAAGATTGCCTTGAGAGGTCATCTTGGAGAAATTTGTACCTCATACCAGGTAGTGCATCTAATTAGTAGTCTATCTTGACTGAATGGATAGAAATCCTCCCTCTCTACTGGAAATCTGGTATGTGGCAGCAGAAGAGAATCCAGATAAGGGAAGAGTGGCGTTAGGGTAGGAAAGAAAGCCTTGAGAAATTCCCTAAGCAAGAGATGTGACTTATTAGTGATGCTGAAAGCTATCACAATGCTAAATAGCACCTCTGAACATAAGGAAAACATTGTAATTTCCAGACTATTCCACTGTATTCACTTTTCTTACCTCCCACTCCTTATTCCAGCCCCTTCAATGCAACTTTGTCCAGGTGTGATCTGTGTTTCTCTGCAGAGGACACTGATGGGAGGTCAGCTGAGGTGAAGGCTCTGCTGTGTGACAATGTCCTGAATGAGAGAGAGAACCTTGTGAAGAGTTACATAAAACATTTGGGGAAGGAGAAGGAACTGAATATGTTATGTTTTGCAGGGATCTTTAGATCTCTCCTATTTTACTGTACAGGGCGACGTGGGCATCTCAGCTGACACTGGAAAGATGTGTGTACTCCTTCGCATTGGGTACAGGAAAGTCAGCTCTCTGTTAACACCAGAAATTGAACTTATTTAAACTCCACATTTGGCTAGATTTATCCCCCTAAAACAAACACTTCACAGTCTCAGTGTGGAAAATTCTCTAACTGGATCAAGTTATCACGGGAAAAAATAGACAGCTCTTGCAGTTCCTGCTTATTTGTAGTTCCTAAGTCAGTTCTGATTTATCTTCACCTCTTCTTTCACCTGTGCATCAGACATTTATTTGGAGCCACTCTTTGCCAAGCATGGCATTAACTGCTGGGGAAAAGGATCAAAGAGATGTCCTTGTGACCCCTTGGTTGCTCAGAAGGCCCCACAATCACAGGAAACCACAAAAATGTGCCCAGAAGCAATGCCAGCCCAGAAGAGGGGTCTCTAGATGTAGAATGCATCAGAAGGACCTTCAGGTATCTTCCCAGAATTTTTGGCACCTCACCAAGTATTAGCAGGCTTATTCCACAAGTTTTGAGATAAATGTATAGGGCTGGCTTCTTGTTCTTTCTAGAATTGCTTGGCAGAAACATTTCTCCTGTCAAATATGGTATCATGCCATCAAGACACAGGAGGGTCAACCCAGACAATATGATTCTCTCTCCTTGCTCAGTCCCACCAGGCCCAGTTCAGATCCTCCCACTTCTGCTGAGATTCTGGCTTTGTCAGGAATTGAGCTCATATCTATCCCCTCAGGAATTCTTTGAAACCTAACATCTTCCATATTCTCATGTGGTATTACCTACAATTAGATTGGATGTTGTAATGGACAAGGATCATGTCAATTAATTCTTTGCCTCTATTCATAGGATGGAGAGTGAGGCTTGCCCATAGTGCATAGTGTTTGTGGTTGCTGTAGCAGAATCAGACTTGACTAGATACAGGCTCCTGTGACTTTGAGAAAGTTACCTAATCTATCTGAGCCTCAGTTTCTGCATCTATACAATGTGACATTAGGGTTTATCGCCAACGGAATTATCAGCACCATTAAATGAGGTCTTGTGCTATGTGTTTTGCATAGGACCTGAATTTCAGCAAGTCCTTAACATAGGCTTTGTTGAGAAGTTCAAAACAGATACATGCCTTTATTAGATCCTATTTCTCACTTCCACATTTCCTCGTATTTAACCAAGTAACTCACCAGATTATTTGCTGGAAAATGAATGTAATTAAATGAGTTTAAAGGTATTCTTTTTTAAAAATGGCTTCTTATTTTAGTTAGCTTGGTCTGCTATAACAAAATGCCATAACCTGGGTTTCTTAAATAGCAGAAATTTATTATACATTTATAGAGACTGGGAATCTGAGATCAGAGTGTGGACAGATTTGGTGTCTGGTGAAGCCCCTCTTCCTGATTTCTAGATGGCTACTTTCTTCTTGTGCTCTGATGTGGGGAGGGATTGATGGAGGAAGTGAGAAAAAGAGGAAGGGACGTAGGGAAAGAGAGACAGAAAGAGAGAGAGAGAGAGAGAGCACTCTGGTATCTTATAAGGTGTCTGATGTCTTATAAGGACAATAATCCCACAAGGAAGTCCCTATCTTCACAGCCTCAATTAAACCTAATAATCACCCAAAGAATCCACCTCCAAAAGACAGGAAGGTGAACAAGGGAGAAGGTTGAACCTAGTCTGTGTTGATAGGATTTCTATACTCAATCCAGTCTGCTATTGCCTTTTCCAGACAACAGGAGGCAATGTGGCTGGCTGGCTAACTTTTGACATTGAAAGCATATAGTGGTTTAAAATTATTTCCATGAGCTTCCAGAAAGGATGAGAGACTGATGGGGGAATTAAAGAGAAAGTGGAAAGTTAGAAACCATTGAATCTTTGAAGATTTCTTAGGAAGTTCATTCTTCTCCAAGAAAAATAAGTAAAAAGGGAAAATAGAAAATTGTTATACCACAGATGAGGCTTTAACCATCTTCTCATTTACAAACCTCCATAGGACTTCCCTCCAATGTTTACATAACCCTGGATTAGTTAGACCAGAGAACAGCTTTATTATTTACAATAATAGAATTTGGATTTATTTAGATCTACTATAATGCTTTATTTCTGCATCAATATTATTTAAAATGAGCTAACTTCATAGATAGTGAAACTAAAGAACCAACTCCACAAAGAAATGAGCACTGGGGAGAGAGAAAGAAGGAAATGGTTTTAGTTGTCTGAGTTCAGTGTCTAATGCTAGGCATTAGTAGTGGGCCTTGTTTTAGATGCTTTAAAGAGCAGAACCAGAACAAAGAGTGGGAATTATAGGGAGGGAGGTAGGTTTCAGTTCAGGTCACAAAAGAACTTCTGCTCTGTGTGTGGTGAGCACTTCCTACCTTCACCAGAAGTGTTCAGGTCAAGGCTGGATGGCCATCACCAGACATTACTATGGGAACATAGTTTTGCCACTTAGCTCCCACGTTCTGCCCCTGCCAGGGCTACAAGGCACGGATTAGGGAGAGGCAGGAAGTGAATGTGGTTCTCTTTCTAAGAGACGTCTTCAAAGACTAGGTCACTGCTTCTCCATCAGCCAATATATCTTTCCTCACTCATCCTCCAGTTCATCTTTCTTCAACTCTTTAAACAATTCTAAGCCCACCAAAACTATCTGGACTTGACTACCATTTGGGTTAGATATTTACTTCCCAGTGAGTGAAATACCATTTTATTCTATGTTGGTTTTCAGTGAACCTCTTCAAGTAGGATGTGGGTCTTAGTTACAGTATTCTGGGATTTTGAGAATGACTCCATACAGCTTCTGTCCAGTTTTCATCATGATTTTGTAGCATCTCCTAGATTCTGCCTTCACAACCATGATCCTCACATATCGAATCTTTTTCATACCAAAACCTATTGGTTACCTTGATATTTTATTGTCCTTCATTAGATCTTTTCTAGATCATTTTCACCCTCTTTAAGTAGGATGCCCAGAACCTCTTGCGGTTTTCTAAATTACATATCCTCCAGTTTTATGCATCTTACTCCGTGGGAGACAGTGTGGTATACATGAAAAATATATTAATGTAGGCCAGAGAAAATCCTGGATCTCCTACTAACTGGACAGGCTGAGTGTAGGTGGGAGATTACTTAACCAGTCACTTTATGCATCAATTTCTACATTTGCAAAATGGAGAAATGCATGCTTTCAAACATTTATGAGGATAAAAAATCTGACATTTGTAAGCTTGGTAATATTGCCCTACCCAAAGTAGGCACTGAAAAAGAAAAGCAAAGCTCTCATTTTTTATTTATATATATCAAGAATGAATGGATTTATCTAGTTGCTGTTGTTTGAGACAGGGTTTTGCTGTAACTTGGGCTGACCTTGCACTTGCCATCCTCCTGCCTCCACCTCCTAAATTCTGGGACAACAGGCATGCACCATCACATCCAGCTTACATATAGCTTTAATAGTGAAAGACATACTTAATGAAATAGGTCATAATTATTCTAAAGAAATACTTTTTGAACTTCCCTGAAAGATTCGAATTTTGATTATGTTGTTCATATTCATTTAAATTGATCTCTTCTTCTATTACACGCATGTTATGTAAGAACATTGCACTCATACTTCACTAAACATAAATTAAACTTACAGCCTTTCATCTTTACAAACACAAGTGAATGGTGTATGATATGTGAATAATTAGCCCACTATCTTCTGTTTAATATTCAGACAGTCTTGGCACCTCTGAGAAGCAAGAGCTACGTAGAGAGAAGTGGGAGAGGAATAACTTGCCAAGCAGAAGCCTCTCTCGGCGCTCCATCAGCAAGGAAAGATGGGTGGAAACACTGGTGGTGGCTGACACGAAGATGGTCGAGTATCACGGAAGTGAGAACGTGGAGTCCTACATACTCACCATCATGAACATGGTATTTGGACTGCATGGGGCAGGGTAGCTGGGGAATATGTCATTAGGAATTACCTTCCTCCTATCAAAAAAAAACAGATTTTTTTTTTGGCTGGATGTGGTGGTTTTCCTGTAATCCCAGCACTCTGGAGGCTGAGGCAGGAGGATTAAAGTTTGAAGCCTGGGTACATCAAGAGAAGCTCTGTATCACACAAACACACACACACACACACACACACACACACACACACACACATGCACACACACACACACACACAGAGGGAAAGAGAGAGGCAGGAAGAGAGATTGAGGGAGAGATATTGAGAAAGAGAGATTTGTATTTTTAATATATATAAACACACACACAGAGCTATATAAGTCAGTTTCCTTCCTGAGTAAAAAACAATGGAAATTAGGACAAATTTTTCTCTCCCTTAAAAATGTATATCTTGAGGGAAATTTGTAATTTATCAGTTGAATATTTCCATTAATATTTATCAAGTGACTCAATCCTTTTAGTATGACTTTCTGTCAGTATACAAATGAGTAAACTGAGGTAAAGAAATAGAATGTGATCTCCTTAATTTAATAAGAGTTGAATTATACTGCAATCCCTAATTTCAAGCTTCCTTTGTGTTACTGATATGTTTTGCTTTCCCAGACTGTTTGTCCTGTTGAAATGAGGAAAGGTATTTCCCTGAGTAACTTATAATAAGAGGGAAAGACCCCGGAAGGGAAAGGATCAAAGAAGAGAAAGCCCTCAATGCTTCAAGCACAGAGCCAATAAATCCCCATGAAAAGGTGTCTTTAAACTCCATAATGTGGTTTGAGATTAAACTTTTCTTTGAACTACACCAAGAATTCTTGATCTATAAGATAAAGTATGGCACAGTGTTGTTTTCCCCCTCTGGTATAGATGTGTATCATTTTCATGTGAAGCTAATAGTTGCTAAGTTTTCCATTTCTGATTCCAGGTCACTGGGTTGTTCCATAATCCAAGCATTGGCAATGCAATTCACATTGTTGTCGTTCGACTCATTCTACTTGAAGAAGAAGAGGTAAAGAAGAGTTTCCCCTGCACTCCACTCTTCTCCTGAATCTTCACATTTCCTACCTCCCCTTTTTTTTTTAGGAGAGTTCTTGATAAGCAAGAAAGAGATCTCCACATGGGTGTTTGGAATTCCAGAAAGAAGAAATATACTATTTTTGTGTTACTTTATAGTTCAGCAATCTTGGGTGGAAGACAGTAAACATTTCCAAAATCTACATAGCTGAAACTACCTATCATTTCATTAAATAACATGCAAATGAAACTAAGAGCAGTCACCAAGAATCCTCTGCAGTGGAAATAGAGTAATCACACTCTGGTTTCAATAAAAGTTAGGAAAAACATGGAAATGCTGAACCTTTTATGGGTTAATTTACCTGTGGTATGTTACCACACATATTTATTAACACTCTCAGATGGGCTTCTTGTTTGCCTTTGGGGATTTCATTTATTCTCACATGCTGAGATTCCTAATTGATGCCTGCAGCCAAGACCTCTTCTTGAGCTTCCAAATCATGTCTAGGTTCTTACTTGACATCTCAACCGAGATGTGTCACAATCTGATCAATCTTGGAAACTTAATAAATCTATAATAGAATTCTTCATTACTTTCTCCTCAAATCATCTCAATTTTTTTCCTCCCTCCATTCTCAAAATTGCTATTTTATCCAACTTGGTAAATGCTGCTACTGTGTATGCAACCAATTGCATAGGCCTAGGAGTCATTCTTTTTCTCAATCTTTCAAATCTGTAATATGACTATTCACCATTCATCATCTCTACAGGTATCACATTGGTTTAGATCTTACCATGTCTTGAACATTTTTCACATTTTTGAAGTGAATTCCCCAATGGTTTTCCTATTTTTTGCCTTGCCTTCATAACCCATTCTCCATGGATGAGCTATCATTTTAACTATAGCCATAATTGATCATCGTAAATACAAACTGATTTGCTCAACTGCAAAAAAAAAAAAGATGAAACCCCCCCAACTTTAATGGATTTCTGTCTCTTTTATAACAAATTCAAGTTTTCTTTGACTGTCATCAGTGTCTTCACGATATTGCCTGCACCCATCTTTCTGTTCTTTCCTTATGCTACTCTCTCCCTGTGCTCTACCCTCACACCCTCTGGACTTTAGATATGTTCTAGAACATACAAGACACTTCTCCGCCTCATGGTCTGTGCACTTGTGTCTTAAACATCCCTCCCCTGTTCTGCCTATGGCTGGCATCTTCTCATCCCTCAGGCCTTTGTTTACACGATAATCTTCGGAGAGTATTCAATGACCAATCCACTCAAAGTTGGCCCTTCTTACTGTTCTCCATCACAGAATGATAACACAAAAATTCCACTCACAATTCACTAGTATTTGGTGTATTTGTTTACTACCTCTTTTTTTCGTTATATCTCAGCACTTAACAATGCTGGGTCATAAATAAGTGATCAAAGTACTTGGGACATAAATAAATGAATGAAGTGAAATTTAATGAATGAAGGACCCAGCCAACCTTGTGAAATGCCCTTGCAATCTATAGGGCTTAATCGGCAGCTGACATGTGAGGAAGAGCATTATTCAGAGCGCCTTCAGCAAGACACCTGTGGTCAAATGCCAAGGCTTTACTGCTTCCTTAACAGCAGAACTTCCCACAATCAGAAGACTATTTTAAAAATAATCTCTGGAGCCTGGATCCATTTTCCTTCTCTCCCTTGCCATCCCTACTTCCATTTATATTCAAGACACAGTTTCAATGTCTTGGAATACTATTGGGTATCTTGTTTTTCTTCTTATGATTCAAAACTTAAAAACAAGACAAAATGAAAACTAGTTATCTTTTCAATGTCTGACATGGCCTACCTGATCCTATGGGAATATAACATTGATTACTACTTGTTATTGATTAGAGTCTAGATGTAATAAAGTTAGATGCTGACTTACAGAAAATTTATAGGATACACAATGGTTTTTGTCCAGTAGAGATTAAAATGATTTGTGCCCACTAAAGAAGATAACCCCAAGCCTATGGTTTTTTTTTTGGCCTGTGGAACATTAACTAATTTTGTATGGTTAAGTAATCTCATTCCGGCATGTTTCCCACTGGCTGTAGTTGCATCATTTTCTTGTCTATCTTTATTCCAGGTTTGCCATCCTGCCTATCTCCCCATCAATGAGTTAAATATATCTTTACCACATGCACACTATATATTTGTATAAGAATTATATTTTTAACTTTTTCAAAGCTATACTTTGATACCTTGGAGTACAAATTTTCACTCTTTCTTAATGGTTGAGCATATGTACATGCTTACCCACAGATGTGCAGGAACAATCAGGGTTTTCAGACCAAAAAAGGGAAGGTTCCTCTGGATAGGCGAAGGAAAAACTTTCACCACCTGCATTACCAGGTGCACCCCTGGCAGGACTGTAATGTAGCCTGCATGGACCAAGCTCCTTAGAATTCCACATCTCTTTGTGCTCAGGAAACAATACCACTAGGGCATCTTGATGCTGGTTTCTTGCTGCCAGTGAAGTTGTTCAGGATAAAATGATCATACACTACCTCCCTGAATTGATCAAAATTACATTGTTTTGATTCTTCCCAACCTGGTTTTGCAAGTGCAAAGAGACACAAATGATTTGCTGCAGACAGCATGGCTCCCTGCCTCCCCTTGCCAAAGTGGTACAAGGTTCACAGTTGACAACAGAATTACAATTCACAATTCTCATTTTCCTGATTCCCAGAAAATGGTTCAAATTATTCTTCACATTCATGATGAATAAGTAACCTAAGCAACAGCAAAAAGCATTGATTCCAGCCTTTACCTAACATCAGGGTGTTAGAAAGACACAGCAGAAAGTATAGAGTGAGGTATTGGATTGTGGCTACTTTGAGCAGAGATCTGTGTTCTCATTCTGTCTCCACTATCATTCAGTACCCAACTCAGAAAGTCACATCATTGTTCCATGCCCCATCAGACATATAGAAAATGTTAGCCACTGAAGATGCAAATATAAACATAATTCCTATTTCCTGACTCAGGAGCTTAGAACCTACTGTCAAAAGCTCAAAATCAGAAACTTGAAATGGAAATTATCATGAGTCTAAAAACTACACACCTGGATTAGGGAAAAGAATTTGGATGTCTAAACTGAGTTTTAGGGAATAAGAAGGAATTAGCCAATGAGCAAGGACATTTCCAAGTAGAGGAACCTCCCAAAGCACTGGCTTTGGTGTTTAATCTAGCACTTTGCATATGAAGGGCAATGAACACATCACTGATATTGAACCACAGAATGGGAGGATGGGAGATTTCATTGTGATAGAAAGAAAATGGTACTCATGCTAGAGGCAATGGATATGGTATTCAATCAAAATATGCCCACTTCTACTAACATCAGTCTTGTTTCATTGAGGCCTGTCTCTGTATATGACATCACAGTCCTTCCGGGTATAGAACCCAGACATCTGGCTACTCTCACTCTCCCATGTCCAGACCATCATGAGGTGCTACCAATTTTATCTCTATTTCAACCACTTTAATTCAAGCTAGTTATCTCTTTCCTGGACTATGATTGTAGGTATATATTTTCTGGCCTACTCAAAACTAGTTGAATGCCTTTCAATTCTGTTTTCTCATTGTAGCCCAGATGATCTCAAAATAATAATCTGATTATATACATCCTCACTTCTATGCACCATAAGATTCTGTTATTTACTCTCTTAGCACTGTGCATTTCTCTTCATAGTTTTGCATCTATTTGATTGATAAAGTTTTCCCCATTATTTTGTAAGACATAAGGGTTATGAGTAGGTCTGCAGTTTCTCACCACTTAGCCCTACTAATATTTAATTATTTTAAATATTTTTTTCAATGATTAAATAAAGGAAAGATTAAGTGAATAGAGTCCAGTATTCAGTGGGTAAAGAGGAGAAATCAGCAGTAGCAAGTCATGGCAGAACTTGTAGCCATAGAAAAGAATTTGGATCTATCCCATAAGAAACTTTGGATGTCTCCAAAACTGACAAGTGAAATGGAGAGGAAAGCATTAGGGAGACCTAATTGGGGTTCTGTGGAAAGTGATGTGAGGTTTGGCATATTGGGGCATATCCCTTTCATAAGTGACTTTCTACAACTTGACTTTCATTTTCTAATCTCATCTGGAAACTAACACTGCTTTGGACTTTGTTTTCTGTTGTGAGTTCAAGAGACTTTGAGGTTAAGCTACATATGTAAAATGCACCCTCCGTATTTCACCATATCTGGAGAATAAATTGGGTACTTAGATGTGGATGCTTTGGAGCATCTAGAGTCTTTCTCAAAGATGAGGTGACAGACTTTCAGCGCTCTGGTGTACAAAACCTTGATCTGGAAAAACAAGCCAAACCTATCAAGAACACCAGAAGCCAGGAAAACAAAGTAGTTTCAGGTATAAGACAATTTGCTCTCCCTTCTCTCCTGCTTCCATTTAGCCCTGAATAAACGGAGCCCTCATTGCATTTTATAACCCTAATCTTAGCTTCAACTTTTAACTCTCCTCAAGACTTAGAAACAAACTTTCTTTCAAGCCCTCTCCACTTTAGAACAACTTACCGAATAACTTTTCTACCAGGCATTAGGGATGAGACTAGACTATTCCCTCCAACTTTTGTAAGCTGCTTGACATTGTGAAAAGCATGGGATTGACAGTTGTTTCCACTACTTTCTCATCTTTGGTGGGTTACATGACTTGTCTCTGCCTCCATTTATTCATTTTATAAAATGGGGTTATATTACTTCATAGGGTTGCTATGAGATTCAAATGTGTTAATTCCACTTAGCATAGTATTTGGCTTATAGAGAGGGCTCAATGTTTTTTTATTTGTATCAGTCTTATTGTTCTTATTATCATTGTCATCATCATCATTTAGTTCCTACAACAACCCTATAAACTTGTTAGTATTGTGCTTATTTTACAAGGTCTTTAGAGTACTTGAAAAGAATCAAAGTCTGAAGGATGAGATTAGGATC